ACACCATTTAATGGTGCCATGTTTAATGTAGTATAATCACAACAGTCAAGACCTTAATATCTTAATATAAGAAGAACCGTTTATTTTCTGTCAGGATTTAGAGTGCATCACAGCACAGAGACGGCACTTGTCAAAGTTACAAATGACCTCCTAATGGCATCAAATTGGCATCAAAGGAACCACCTTAAGCTGGTTTGAGTCGTATTTTTTTTACATCTATCTCAGTTTGTTCATGTCAATGATGAATCCTCCATGCATACTAAAGTTTGTCATGGAGTCCCACAAGGTTCTGTGCTAGGACCACTCCTATTCAGTTTATACATGCTGCCTTTAACATTATTTGGAATTACTCCATTAATTTTCATTTTTATGCCGGTGACACCCAATTATATTTACTGATCAAGCCTAATGTATCCAATCAGTTAACTAAACTTCAAGCATGTCTTAAGGATATAAAAGTTGGATGACCTACAATTTTCTGGTTCAGCTCCAGTTTAAGGGTTGTCAACGTTTCCTTCACGTCCTTCCTTCCATCATCTATTATTTCAGAAATAGCCACGTCCCTATCTTTTTTTGAAGTCATGGACTTCTTTCGAGGATTTATGAGGCAGTACCTCTGCATGCTCATTAGCGTCCTCTCCATTAGCTAGAAAGGCGTTATTATCTTCGTCAGAGGGCTCAACTATGTCTTTTTTCAACTGCTCCTGTATTTTGAAAAGATTATTTTGATTTGTGAAAATACCATTTAACAGATTTAAGTGTAGGAGAGGAAACTCCCCAAAGAGTCATTTTCTCTTGATCTGGCTTTCAGCTCTAATCATTTTGCAAAGAAACCATCTCCATGTCAACTCCACACGGCAAGGCAAAGACTTGCTGGAATTTGGCTGCTACTTGTTCTAGAAATGGATATGTATTTCACTACCATTACTGTAGTGAAAAACACAGTGACAAGTCCTTTATCACTTGTTGATGCACGTTCTGCTAGTAACTCGACTCGCCTTGTCACTTTTGCAGGGCCAAGTGGTATAAATATTGTTGACTCTGCAGTAATGGCCATTGCTTCCTTGAATAAATCACCATCTCTAAATGGATTCTCATGTTTAGGCAAAAGGTAACATGTTCTTGCAAAATGGAAATAATCATTAATTAATTATAATCAAGGTAAAAGTTTGAAATAATCGTGATATTGATTTGAAGTCACATTGCCCAGCCCTACAAGACGACATTGAATAAGACAAAAGAGAAGCATCCTTTGTGTGGTCGTATGTATTACCTTTAGTAGCTCTTGCATTGATCAAGTTCTTTGTCCTCTCTGACCTATACAGAGTCTCTTGGATGGCGTTCTGGAAATTAAACTCTACATCCTGCAGGTCAAGAAACACATTACTACAGTAACAAAATGTTAATGATCTCAGTGATGATTTACTGATAAACAGTGTTGACCTGCAGTGACTGAAACTCTGCCTTCAAAGCCAGAGTGGTATTTAACTCCATCATCTCCAGACAGCCAAGATCTTGATTTGATTCATCAGCTAGATGCTCCACGGACTTTCTAAGGGCTTTATATCAAGCAGAAAAGAGGAAGAAATTTTTTTTAGTCATTGTTCAATAATCTATGATCACAGAAACAATCTGTCTGATGAGGAAGAGAAAATATAAATAAAAAGAATACATTCTCCTGAAGAACAAGAACGCGAAAAGCCCAACGGAAAACTCTTTACCTTACTTTCATATAGAGGACCTTTCTTATTTTCTGAATTCTTTCTGACTTTACAGGATGAACAATTTTAACCATCAAATGATAATATAATGGACGATCAACATGAGCTTAAGTGTGAAGTTATTCAACATTTGTTGTAACGTAATAGCGACCTCTTGTGGTAGCAAACCCCCCTGTAGGCTAATTGGGGCGGATGTATTAACCTGCCGGATCTTCTTTTATATGGATGCTATTGTTTTGACTGGTGAAGCTGAGCTGGTGAGTTAAGAGATACATACAATTTGCTTATAACTTGTTGAATGCTATAAATATGTTCATGTATACAGATCATACAATGTATAATATGTCTGTGTCATTAATATTGTGGTTTTGTGTTCATTTTATGTCATTTCAGTTGATTACCTGGCGAACGGCACGGTTACTGTTCATGTGCTAGTTAGC